GAGCTTCGTCGGTTGATGTGGAGGGTCGACCCGAGGGCTCTTTGTCTTCAACGCGTTCTCTGCCTTCTATTTGAACTGTTTATACCACTTCTATACATTTCTTTCCGATCTAGGAATGCTCACCGAACGCCTTCTGCAGCATTCTACACGTTTCCTCAAACAAAACTGAATGCAAGTTCTTTGCTCAATGAATTCAGACATTTCAAAAATCGCCGGAATCAGTTTCAGCGTCTCACAAAGCTAAGCGTAACTCAAACCCTAATGAATATTTTGACGTCTAATTTCGCGCAGATGTCAAGAACAGTATCAGCAACCTAAAAAAAAATTGAGATTCCATAAGCCCCGGGAATTTTGAATTGAAAATGGGTCTCACTTTCTGGACACAGTGGCAGGTGCGATATGAATTTGCACGTGATTCTTCAAAATCCAGAAGCGCGTCGGAGGAATGAAAGACGGATTAGAAAGTCGGCGCGCGACGGCCCGTGTGTTTGCTCGGCATCGTAAATCCTCGCTGACTGGTGTCAGTCACTTTTTTATATCACTGAATTCCCCAGACAACAAAGAAAATACGCGGGCGCGGATTTCTTTTTCTAATGCCATTCGCTTAACTACGTCAGAATCAGAATCAGATTCAGTCGGTGGATAGCAGCAGGAGAGATAAAAAAATATTAAAAAAAGATGAATATTGGATATTTGTGTCATTATATTATGGACTTTCCCTCAATGGCGATAAAAAGGTGTGTAAATTATAGACCAGGGGTGGCCAACCCAAATGATAATGCGAATCACTTTGGAAATGCATCCTAACTCCGCAGCCCGACATAAAATTACGTATCCCTACGTTAGATGTAGATACACTACAGACATTTTTTGAGAGTGTAAGATTGAAACATCACGAGATATTATCTTTGTGTTTACTGTTATACTTACATGTGAAAATAGATAATATAATATTAAGGATACTAAATGCACACTGTAAAGAAATATACAACACACAAAATGAAATATAAAAAATATATAAATATAAATGAAATCATTAAAAAATATTTATGTGACTAGTGTGATATTTGTTTTCTCTCATGGTGAAAATCAATGTATTAAAGAAATACATTTTTGTTTGCAACCATATATTCAAAAATTGGCTGTCGAAATAATGAGAAAAAAATGAACTTTGATTTTAAAATAATATTCTTGCGAATATAGGACAGATATGGCCTGCTTTATTTATGTTTACAGTTATGAGTTCGCAGAATAATTAAATTATTCTCTGCGAACTCACGATGCAGGTGCATCGATTTGCAAAAGCTAAGTGAAAGAGTAAGGAAACAAATATCGCACTAGCAAAATAAATATTTTTTAATGATTTCATTATTTTTTATTTCATTTATATTTTTCTATTTGTTATATTTCCTTTTCAGTGTTCTATATTTCTTTACAGTGGGCGTTTAGTTTCTTTATTATTATATTATCTATGTTCACATGTAAGAACAATAGTAAACACAATAATAGTAACTCATTCTGTTTCAATTTTTCACTCCAAAAAAAAGTCTATGGGGGTCTACATCTAACAGGGGGATATATAATTTTACACGCGGCCCACAGAGTTAGGATGCATATCCATAAATTGCCCGTAAGATCATTTGGGTTCACCACCCCTATATTAACAGTTTTTTTCCTTGCTTTTTGAATATAAAAAGAATTTAAAAATTTTATTTGAATAAAATGCAGTCTATTAAAATAGCGAGAAATTTATTTTAAGAAATTTAAATAAAAAAGTAATATTAAAACTTTTTTACTCAATCCATACTCTATAAAGTAATATTCTTGCGCAAACAAATATCGCACTAGTAAAATAAATAGTTTTGAATGATTTCATTTTTTTTATTTCGTTTATATTTATATATGTTTTATATTTCATTTTGAGTGTTCTATATTTCTTTACAAGTATCCTTATTATTATTGTATCTATGTTTACATGTAAAAATAATAGCAAACACAGTGATAATAACTCATCATGTTTCCATTTTTTACTCCAAAAAAATGTCTACAGTGGATCTAAATCTAATGTGGGGTTATATATAATTTTATATGCGGCCCGCGGAGTGGTGAGGCATTTCCAAAGTGGCCCGCAAGATCATTTGTGTTGGTCATCCCTCGTATAGAGTGACATAAAAATATAACAAGAATGTTAATCTCTGTTCATGAAATTTAATTTTTTTTTATTGTCAAAAATGGGTCATTGCGATAATCATATTTCAAAAACTGAGTATAAATGTGATGACAAAATTGAATAGAAGGGCGATGCTACGATTTTGAGTGTATTGCATAAACTATCTCTCTAAAAATTATTGCTCTGCCTGTATTTCACGTGGTATTTTAAAAAAAGCACTTTGTTTTTCCACGAATTGTATGTGTTTAAAAGTGAATCAAAACTAATAAACGAATTTAAAAAAAAGCATCTGATGAAATGAAGGCTAAAATATTTTTAATTGCTGAAATTCTCCGAAATATATTCTGGGAAATAATTTTTTTCTGTTAAAGCAATGATGAAGTCGCTGTTGCGTAACAGGAGTATTTGAATGTGCAGTAAAAATTTTGATTATTAATCGAATAACTTTTTCCTTTATCTGTTCTAAAAATGATAATCCCTCTCCCCCCAAAAAAATTGCGTTTAATTACGTCCTACAAGATGCGTGTATTTGAAGAGATACCTACAGTTGTCTTTTTTTTATATTTGTGTTGATCACAAGGGTTAAACACGTTTTTTTTTTGTGTGTGTGTAGATATATTTTTATGTAATGTGGTGAATGCATTTTGCTTCATGATACATAAAATTTAAAATATGCAAAATAGTGTGTTGTACGTATCCATGTAACTATACATCTAAACACTCTAAGGAGAAGGTTTGGCGGGTCACTCTACGGTCACTTTGGCTAAAATTAATATTTTGTTCTAATGAGAACAACTTGTCACACAAATCTGACAGCAGATATTCGGTGTTATGGGTAATGAAACTTCAAGAAATGAGTGATTGTCTGTGCGACATTCACAAAGGCTAAGTAGACTTGTGTAGATTGGCTACCAGGACTTACAGTTTTATTCGCATCCATGCCCCAGCCAGGATTCAAACCTGAAGCCTGTAGTACCAACGGCCAGAGCGCTAGCCAATGGGCCATCAGGGCGCCCTATAAGGAGGGGGAAAACTATTAAAGACTAACGAATCCAGTAAGCGGTTGAATATTAATCTTTTTTGTAATTTTATCATGGGGCCTGATGGCCGAGTGGCTAGCGCCGTGTCATAGGTTTCGGGTTCAAGTCCCGGCGGTGTCCTGCATGTTTGTAGTGGTTCGGAAACCCCTTTAAGCCGTAGGTCCCTGTCTAACAGGATCGTTGAGCGTTGTGGGGGTAGGGTTACTCGCTTCCACAGTATTTCTTCAAGCTACAGGTGCCCCCTGGGTAGTAGTACTCAATGAGTAACAGCGGTGCAGCCCTTGCTTATGGCATAAAGACTAACTGTCTCGGTATTGCCGGCTGCATTAGAACAATAACATTATAAAATATATATTTTCAATGTGCCTTTTAATACAATAAATAATAATACAAATTTAATACAATAAATAATAATACATATGAACATTATTTAATACATTTCAATACAATACATAATAATACAAATTTAATACATTTTCAATATACATTTTTTTCAATTTAAATTTTTATTATATAATGTAAATTTAAAATTCTAGAATTGAACATCTTAAAGAAGCAAGAATTTAAGCATCCAAAATTAAAAAAAAAAAGTATTCACCCAATATATATATATATTGTTTCATCTGATTAGTCATGAATTTTCTATTCGGTTTTTTCCCCTCTTGATTTCGCCTGAATATTTCGCCAGAAGGAATGATTATGGATGCAAGCAATGTTTTACGCCGTCACCTTAGGAATGCATTATTGAACCGAACATTAAAAGCGGCTTGCTACTTATGTGCATGAAACATCGATTTGTTGACTTCATGTTGTTCCACTGAAGAGACCGCTGAGCGATAGATCAGCGTCTCACTGATCCGTGCACCCATTTCAACGCGTGAGCCGGCGCTCCGGGAAGGAGAAAGGGGTCGGAGAAACAAAATTTTCTCTCCGGGTAGAATCGGCTTCTTACATATTAGTAACAAAATGCGGTTGCCTATATGAAATACACTATGTGGAAGAAAGTGACGGGACACGACACTATAACGACATAAACCCATATTTATTAAAATTAATAGGAGGTAGGGCCTCCTTTGGCTGCGATCACAGCTGCAACCCTTCTGGGCATGCTTTCCACTAAATTAGCCATAGTGGCAAGAGGAATTTCCCTCCAAATGTTTAACAGGAAGTTCCATAGTTCAGGCTTGCTTTTGGGGAGTGAGGTGCAGGCCCTCAACCGACGGTCCAATTATTGCGCATGTGTCAGCTGTATTGTCGACTTTTCTACTTTTCGAGGAGTGTCCCGTCACTTTCTTCCAGATAGTGTAGATAGAGCTCTCCTTTTCATCTCCATCTAACCTAGGTCTATGTAATCCTCCTACCAGTTGGAAAGGTGAGGGTGAAACATCGGTGAGCCCCATGTATATTACGAACAAACAACCCGCGGGTGCTTTAGGGTTGTAGCATTTTTCCCATGAGAAGAGATATAGCATTTACGTTCCCAAATATTCCTTAACAAGTTGTTGTTGTTTCTTATCCCACTTGTCTGGCCAAGCCCACTAGCCCAAACGTACTCATGATTGAAAGGGAATGAAGCGGCTTCTGTTGTGATGGAGCACCCGTAGGTAGAAGTCTGACTTTGGCTCCGTGACGCTCTCTTACAGTCATAGGAGAACGGGACCTACGGCTTAAAATGGATTCCGAACCACTACAAACATCCATGGCACCACCGGGATACGAACCCGTAACCTACGGCACCGATCGCCTGAGCGCCAGACACTCGGCCATTCAGGTCCCAAATTTGTGAATGCCAACGGCACGCGGTGTTCCCAGGTGGTTATCGCGTACTGACCGCGCCCAATGATACTTGACTTCGGTGATCTAACGAGAACCGGTGTATTCAGCATGGTATGGCCGTTGGCCCTTAACAAGTGCATAGTAACAACCCATCACTCAAATTTGACAGCCGATAAGCAGTGTCGTGGATATTTACACCACATGCTATTAATGTTTTGTACTAATGAGATCAACCTGTCACTCAAATCTGACAGCAGATAATCAGCATAATGGATAATGAGATCTCATGAAATGAGCGATTGTCTGTGCGAGCCTCACAGGTCGAAACAACTACAGATGGAATAGGGACTACGCCATCTGTTGCTGCATCGTGATGGACACACATCTTGACGGGATTGTCTTAAAAAGAAGTTTTTTGAAAAGGAGTGTTCTGCGACGAGTCAACATGAAGTGTTGTTTTTCAATTACGCCTGTTTACAAAGTAACTTTGCAGAGATTAAGGGCATTCAAATAGAATTTCAATTTTAATCTTGAAATAAACTCTGTTATATTTTTTGTTGTTGTTTTACTTAATTATAATTGTTTAATTTGTCTGTGTGTTGCAATCAAATGAACTGAACAGGCCTTATATGATCCATCCGTCCTAATGCGTCGCCAAAGAATTCCTCGTTCGCAGTACGATATCTGTTATCAGATTCCCGAGTCGTGGCCCGTTTTGCTTGTTTCTGTTGCATATTTAAATCTCGGAAATCGCCTCAGCTGCCACAAAAGAACGCTGAAAATCGCTTCTTGAAGGTCACTCTCAAAGGGACGACTGCTGAGATTCTTATTAGGGCATGAAATTCTTGTCGAATCTGCAATTCTAATCGAACATTCGATACACTGAACACTGGAGTGTTGCTTTCCTAAAGGAATACAGAGAAACAAAAAGATCCTGTAGTGTTCAAGAAATCTTTCTTTTTCAATTCCTTCTATTATCTCACACTCTCCCTACATATATCTCGTTCACATTTTCAATCGTTCATAAAATACTTTTCATTCATCCACTCGAGTTCAAGTACATTTTTTTTAAACTTGTAGTGGATGACACTGGATGTGAATACAGTTTTTTTCAAAATATTAATTCATTCATTGAAGTTAATTAATTCATTTTATTTTTTTTAGGATTTAAGTTGCATATATCTATTAATAGATGGCGCCCCATAAACTTAAAAAAATGAATGAAAATGATTTATAAAGGACTTTCTGCAATAGAGTGAGAAAAAAAGTACAGTGCTTCTTATTGTATTTGGAATACTTCATTCTTCATTTATGTCTAGAATATTCAAACTTTGATATATTCTTTTGACTATTGAATGTGATAAAGTTTCCTGTAGAATTGGGAATACTTCATTCTTCATTTAAGACGACATGTATCTCACTTTTGAATGTTCTTTTTAGAGATTCTTGAACAATTCCTTCTTCATGAAGTTTTTCATCTATTCAACATTTCTATATTCACGTGGCTATTTGAATTTTGGCCATTCTTGTAATATTCCAATCCATTGCTTCCTATATCTCGTGCATCATTAAACATCGGCATATTCTTGAGTTTATTCATCCGTTCTCGAATGTTCACACATAAGTTGAAATTTCCAGAGCTGATTTCAGTTTTTTTATTTTTTATTATTATTTGTGTGTGTATGAATAAGCGAAAATTGAAGAAAGCATTTTGAATTTGTGCACAAGGGGGCTAAACAGACTAGAACCTACAGTTTAAAGGGGATTCCGAACAACTCACAAACATCCATGCCACAGCTAGTATTCGAACCTGAAGCCTTGAGTCTATCGAAGATTTATTTTAATTCTTGATTTCTTATTTTTATTAATTTCATAAATGATAGTTCTGTGTAACTTAAAATGATAAAAATGCGTTCATTCATTTAAGCATCCATAATTTTATTTCAATATTATCTCATTTTAAAACAGACCTATTATACTAAGAACAGAAGAACAATTTGAAAAGGACGCACTTTTTAATTTCTTCCTTAAATTGTAAGCTGGTGTCAACATGAGCAAAAAAATTGATCGATGCTTTCTTTGTGAAGGCAGTTGTCATTCTTTTACATCAAAGGATGTTAGTTTTTTCTTCCTTGTGACTGTCAAACAAATGCCACGAAACATTTCTCAGAGTACTCTTTCAAAATAGGTGAGATAAAAAAAACAAAGTGAGAGAGTTGTATCTAAAAAAAGTTTACACCAGGTATGGTCAACCCAAATGATCTTGCGGGCCAAAATGCATCCTGATTCCGCCGGGCCGCACATAAAATTATACATCCCCCTATTAGATTTAGATTCACTATGGTCATTTTTGGAATTGAAAAATTGAAACATAATGAGCTATTATTTTTGTGTTTACTATTATTCTTACATGTGAACATAGATGATATAATAACAATGATACTAAACGCACATTGTAAAGAAATAGATAACACTCAAAATGAAATATAAAAAATATATCGAACAAAATTGAAATCGTTAAAAAAATATTTATTTGACGAGTGCGATATGTGTTTCTCCACTCTTTCACTCAGCTTTTGCAAATCGATCTGCATTTGGGTATTTGCACATCGTAATGGGTGTTGCAGGTGAGCGTCCATTATGTTTGAGCGTGTTTTGTTTGGTTAATTTCATTTACACGATTCGCAGGTGTAAGTTGAACAAATTGAAGCTCTAACAAATTGAACTAAGAGTCTGATTTGCTGATTATTCCGTCACTGAGATCACTTGAAGAGAAACATAGAGCCTGTTATATTAGATGTTCGAAGATGCGCGTGCATTATGAGTTCGCAGACTATAATTTAATTATTCTGCGAACTCATAGATGTAATCTCATCCATAAAATAGGCAAAACACCAAAAAAATAGGCACAGTTCACATCTGTTCTCTATTCGCAAGAATATTATTCTAAAATCAAAGTTGATTTCTCATACTTTCGACAGTTCATTTTTGAATATAGGGACGCACACATAATATATATTTTTTAATACACTGGTTTTCCCTCCTTTGATCATTATGAAATATGTATTTTGTAAAAGTGTGATCAATCTCACGGGGTCGGAAAAATATTCAAGGCGGGCCGCGGGTTGTCCACCCCTGATCTAGAGGGCTCCTATAATCCCCCATTTCACCAGCCATGGAGAATGGGAGGATTTATTGCGATCAGTTGAGGATTACTTCATGCGAAATTTGAACGACATAACATTTCAAATTATAGCGACGCACACGACCTGTTTTGTAACGAAAATGCTTTTCATTCCTTGAATTCGAAAACTAATCGTAAAAGCGTCTTGCATACATTAAGCGAAGTGTGCTGCGGACGTGGCTTTCAGGAAAACATTTCAAGTGCAAATTTTGAGATATTTTTCGTGATTTCTGAATTTGAACACCCGCGGAAAGGCGAATATAAAACAGCAGCGCATCTGCGGCCGAGGCATGCATCGATCTGGAAGAATTAATTTCCTTTTTCTTTTTTTTATTGCGACATGTCGCCCACGAAGCGCATGACAAAGGAACGCGACAGTTTCAATAAACATCTGGAAAAACGTCATACATGTTTAAAAACATCATATGCGAACACGGGCAAATAAAAAAAAAGGGAATAGCTGATCATGTGAGGCGAAGATTTTGGGTGTACGTGTTCATGAATCAATAATCATTCATGAATCAATAAACCTTAACAATTTTTAACAATTAAAAATTGTTAAGGTTTTTTTTTATTATTATTTTAATACATATCCATACTAGTCTATTGTCTTAAATTCATTTATTCGCATTTGCAATAGTCTAATTTTTTTGTTAAATAAGAATGCATAATAAGCAATAAAATATTCCATTTATTTTTTTACTCATAAAGCCAATTAATTATTTTTAATATGCTTATGCAATATTTTAAAATTTTTATTTAATATCGGTCTACTACTACTACTACACCACACCGCATCACTGTGCCTAGAACTGAGTTGCCTCTTTACAGTTTGGGAATGATGTGGGTGAGAAGACGTCCGATTGGGCTCTGTGACGCTCTACGGTCATAGTAGACGGGACCTACAAATTAAAGTGGATTCCTAACCACTACAAACATCCATGGCATACCCGAAACTAGTGGTACTGAGTGCCAGAGCGCTAACAACTCGGCCACAGGCCCATTAATTATCAAGCATATTATAAAATAAATTTGTTTGTGAAAGTGTGAAAAAATGTTCAAAGTGGGCCGCGGGTTGGCCACCTCTGCTTTAGATAGATTCACAAATTGAATTCACGGATAACATCTTCGTCAAATAACGCTCGGAGAGAAGAAACTTTCCCAGAAGGAAGCATGTCTACAAACTCGATTTGCATTTCAATGCGAATTCAGTTCTTTCCCATAGCAACAAGGTGCGAGACAGATTCATCTGCCATTCAAATGATACAGAAATGTGGTCGTACCCCAAATTTTAAGAGCTCTTGCGTCGAATTGCATAACAGGCATGCCACAGTCAAGTCTGACGAACCTTCATCTGAAACAACGGCAGATGATTCCCCCACAAAATGACATGTCTCTTTTCTTATTTCACTTGCTAATTGCATTGTTTGCTTGTATCCGCTGGTTTATCACTTAACAGGAGCAAATGCACCTTTTTTTGCGTGTTCCTCTTTTTTTCGAGAAAGAGTGAGAGAGAGAGGGAAAGAGCAGCCAAGTGGAAATGGCACCTCGGTTGCGAAGATGGATAGTTAAACGACGCGCAATAGTTACGCTAAACTTTTCCACTCTTTACAGTAACAAAAACGCTCCAGGTGCCTTTTTGAGTGCTGTTGCACTAATTTACTGTGGTGTTTGCTGCATTCCTGTGAAGACATAAACCAAGCACCTTCAGAGCCCAAAATTTTGAAAGAATGATTAATGGATATTTTTTTTTGATGCTACTATTGTTGAATTAGGTTATAAAACATTGGCAAACAGGAACATTAAAATATATACACGAATATTTTTTTGGTTAAAATTGAGCAAAATGTGATTTATTTAACTATTCTTAAACACTTCTAACTAGAAGAATGCATAAACCATACCCCAGTGACGCGCCTGCATGTAGACATCTATTC